TCGGGATGCAAGTCACCGTGGGACATGGAGTGCATTCGAAGCTCCGGCCGGTCGGTCACCGAAAACCCAACCTTGGAGTGGCTCGAGCATGTTCGTCCCGAGTCATGGGAATTCGATCGCTTGGGATACACCTGGTAGCTCATTGCTACACGGCGCCTCGAACCATTCCAGTCGTGCATGCTGGAGGCTCGCCCCCAGGCTTTTCTGTTTCCGAGACAAAAGCAAAAAAAAAAACACAGAAAATATGCCTGCAAGAACAGATCACCACTGGACCCTTTCGCCGTTCCATAGAGCACATTATTGCAGATAACGCAGTATCGGGAATATTTATGTGGTTTTTCGAACTTAAAATATCCGACTCTTATTTATGAGTATCCAAAAGGATAAATATTCAGAAGAGGAATAGGAGGCTCGGTAAGAAAGTCGTTACTATAAGCATAAAATCTTAACTTCTGGAAAGCTACAGTACATGAAAACTTGGGAAGTCTGCATCATTTCAATCTTCTGCACTGTCTCCGTCATGATATACTGGGAGGCCAAAAGTTAGTGGTCAGAATTTAAGTAGGAAGTAATCGGAAGGTATTCCGATTCGGTAGAGAAGTGAATGGGGATCTCAACCTTGAGGATATTACCACATATTGTTTCTGTTTCACGGGGATGGTGAAGTGATGAGATCTATGCATAGTTTGCATTTTTGACCTTGTTTGTGTTTACGGGGAAAGGCTTTTCCGCGCTCGAGTCGTGAAGCACAGTTAACATTTATCTTCGCCTGAGATACTTCGAAATCTTAATCAAAGTAAGACTAAACCGGAGAGGCGAGCAATAGACGTCCATGTACGACTAGCATATGGGTTTAGACGAGAGTTTTTGCGAACCCGAGGAAGAGGCTTTCGGTGGAGAGGAACTGCGCTCGTATAGCAAGCGAAGGGCTTTCAAAGACAAACCCATCTTTTCTCTCTCTTCCACCCACACCTGCCGAAGGGATGTCAAATTTCTTTCCCCCCCTTTTTTTTTTCAAAGACCAGCCGACGTTGTTCCGCATGCAATATCCATGAATTTATTAATCCTATATCCTCGAGGTTCGGTCAGAATCTCATCCCCTTACGCCCCGAAGGTGCTAAACCCACGTTTCGAAGCCGGAGAAAAATTCTCCACCTGCACACCCTTTTTCTGCGAGCACACTATATGCTAAATCTGGAAATCTCGCGGGGAAAAAAAAAACCTCGGTCTCTGACCTCGATGGTAATTGCTCGTACCAAGAAAGCAGCGACATTTTGACGACAGGGAAAAAAATCGAAACGAGTTGGTTCTTCGTTACGTCTGGATGGTTCTGAAGCCGAAATGGTAATGACGGCTTTCTTCCGGGTGCATAAACTCCAATTATCGGCGACTGCAAATTATTGTCTTTTGCCGTTCCGCTCATAAATTGGCAGGATTCCCTCCGTTCAACACCTGACGGTCCCCGTAGGCAGGTTTCAGGGGAATCCATGTGTGGGTTTTTTATATTTTCACAGCTCTATTTTGAAAATCATAGTAATAATAATAGATAAAAAAAATAACCATAATATAACCATTAGTTTGTCTTCAAAGGGACGTGATAGGAACTTTGAAGGAGTATATTTGAAGCCGTGGGGTAACACCGTCAAGGTTCAAGGGCGATGCCGACGGCGAAAGTGTAAACAACATTTTTCTACTCGTGCAAAAAAAAAAAAAAGCTCTTCACGGGTAGTCTAATTGTTTTTCGAAACACACCTTCCTCTCTTTAGCCTCGCCATGACAGCCCCACAAATGAGAAAATGGATGAAGGAATTCAGCCCATATTCCCCTCCCCCCCCTCATTCCGTGTCGAAGTCTAGCACGCTAATCATCATATGACTTGAGCGATTCCGGAAGATAATTTCAGCATTTCATTGGCAAACTGGGAAGCAGATCCTCTTCCCTTCGACACAACTTGGCAGAAAAAAATACGCAGAAAAGCACGTTGACGTGTGGAATCGAGCGTGAAACACAAGAAAGTAAGAGTACTTGAAAAAATAAAGCCAGAGGCTCTTTCGGAGAAGAGGGTAACCGCAGAGAAAGGGAGAGTGACAGGTGGGGAAAATCGATGGAGCGTCACCTTCTCGCATTGACCTTCAAAGACCAAAAGATGGCAAGGAAAAAAACATCCTGTTATTTCCCAGTCTCGAAACCCTTTTTCTTTCCCTCTATTATCTTCCCCAGCTGGAATCCAACGACGAGAAGTGAACTTGTTTGTTCTACTCCGGTCTATTACCCTTGACCGCAAAGAATAAAATTTAAAAAAGGGGAAAGGAGGGGGGGAAAGGGGGTAGAAGTGGAAGTGAGCAAGCGAACGCAACGCCCTGAAGGGAAACGCTAGGCAAGAAAAACGTCTCTCCAAGCAGGGCCGTGCATCACCTTTTTGTCTATTATTTATCATTTACCTATAGAAGACTCAAAACATTTAAGCACCTATGCAAATACTCATGCTTCTACTATTCAAAATTAATGTTCCTATTTCTTTACTTATACCTATGCCTATCACATTAAGTACGAGGGGCACTCAATAATTCTTTGCACTTACCATGCTTTCCTCATCCATTTCCTTTGTTTGTTTTTTTTAAAATAACAGGTAAACAGTGTTTGTGGATATGTGTGTATGTCAAGTTGCTTGAGCCTGGTGTGAATAATTTGCTGTCAGCTTAATTTAATGTGCAGGGACCTTGACACTTTTGACTTTGAGAAATTTCATCTGCAGAGCCCTCAAACTTTGACAAACAAGCCATAGTTTGGTATTGCTGTAAACGAAGTCTCTCTTAAAGCAAGTGTCAATCTGAGATGTCTGAGAGGGAGCTTCCCCTTCCTTGAGGGCCGTTCAGAATGTTCAAGGAATTTCGCTTTGGGACGGGAGATTTTTCCGACAACCCTAGGTCTGGTCGACCCCCTGTGGTAACCAACGAAAAAAACATCCAAGAAAACATTGCTCGAGCTCTCTCGAAGGAAGAGCCACATATCACCCAAAGCAAAATTCAGCATATTTGGGGGTTTCATCAGGAACTATAAATGTCAGCTTGCACGACCATCTAAAAGTGAAAATACCAAATCACATAATTTGTAGGCTCTGCAGATGAAATTTCTCAAGGTCAAAAGTGTCAAGGTCACTGCACATTAAATTAAACAGACAGCAAATTATTCACACCAGACTCCTGCAACTTGGCATGCACACATCCAAAAACAGTTTACCTGCTAGAACATAAAATACAAGGAAATGGACGAGGAAATCATGTAAAGTACAGAGATTTATTGAGAGCCGCTCGGATACTCCCTGCATGCAGTCTCTCCCCCCCCCCCCCCCCCCACAGCTCCCGATCTGAAAAGCAACAAGTATGTGTATTCTATGGGAATCTCTTGTGCAGCATATCAATTATCCATTCATTAATCTCACTACCTATCGGTTTAACCAGAGACCCATATAAAAAATTTCCCCCTATAATAATTTCTTTACAAAGAAAAGTAATATTCTATACACTTACCTGCATGATAACCTATTCCATTATTCAACTCTAGCTTTAGAAGACAGTCCACGGGGACCGCATTCATCGGGATTCTCTCATTGTTGATGATTACGAACCGAGGAGCACCTGAAGCAGAGATCCAGTCGACACGATCTTTTTGGATGATCAAAGAACTGTAACTGTAACAATTCGTGAGTTGGATTGCATAAATATTTAGACAACGACTCTCTAGGGAGGCGTATAACCGCAAAAATTCCGTCAGGAAGGAGAAATCTGTTATATTGTGGTGCACGATGCCATAAAAACACAGTTATGCAATTTTGATGCAGAGCGGGATCTTGAACGACGATATGCTGGGAATCTCGGCGAACGGGACTTGTCACCATAGAATCCTTTTATGGCAGTAACATTCCATTTCTTTTCCTTTGGAGGATTAAATGCACGAAACTAGCCTCGGAAGATACAATAACCTCGGTTGTATAGGATAGGAGACAGACACGGACAGGCAGAATTCCCGTGAACAATGTCTAAATGGGGGGAGTGTGAGAGAAAAATGCAGAACGCCTCATTCTGTCACACTCCAACGATAATGAGCCCAAATGCGTCATTCTTCCCTTTCTTATGCGAGAAAAAATTATTATTAGATTAGTCCCTTTTCGCATGTGATTCTCGTCGGAGGGGGACTGAGAGGAAGTGATGCGTCATGATGGTATTCATAGGTCGGCCAATTTCGAGCCGGGCACGGGAGATTGCAGCCTGAGCGACATGAGCCGGCACGCGCTGACAACGAGCAAGCGATTCAAGTCGGATGCGAACTTCGTCTACCTCGAGAACAATTGCGTCACCGAGCCAATCAAGATGTGCGAATTTCAGAAGATACCTGGTGAGACGACCGTTCCGAGCCTCACGGATTCCCTCTGATTTTTTTTCACTCGAATGCCCATTTTTTCACTTTACTCCGGTGAAAAGCACTACTTCGCATCGTAAATATACCACTGATAACTGGGGAAGTAGCGATGCTAAAACAACGAAGCAATAGTTCCATGGCCTAATGCCGGTGTTAAGATAAAAAAAAAGTGTTTTAAATATGAATTTGAGAGTAAGAACTGAGTTTCTTTTGAATGATAAACGAATCAGGTTAAATAGAACGGGTTGTAGACAATGGTGAGAATATGGTATTCGCGTATAACAATGCATTGGCGTACAATGCTGCGCTTAGAAAGTCCAATTGCAACCCAGGGTGAATGCAGAGAAAATACCGCTAGCGTGTTTTTATGCAATATTATGTCTCCATGATGGAAATATCCGAGAAATCATCAAATTTACCCCTTCAAGAAACTTCACCCCCCCCCCCCTTAAATCAGTTCTTCCAAAAACATTTGTTAGTTTCATCATCCATATAATTTAATGTCTCATGGACTAATGTGATCCTTATCTTCAGTTGACAGGAAATTACTCCAAACCATAACTTCGTGCCACCGCGTATCGATGCGTAGCTGGAATTTTTTTCGGTAACGGGAAATTTTATTCCTTTTCCCTACCCCACATCCAGGTCGAATCCTGAAGACGGTGGATTCGGTGGAACAAGACGTGAAGAGCCTGGAGGCATGCCGCGACAAGTGTCTGGGGAGCCTGGAACCCTGTCGCTCCTACGACTTCAACGACACCGGAAACAGCGTGTGCCGACTCAGCCACCACACGGCCTTGACCCTGGCCCACATCAAGGAGCCTTACCTCTCCATGTCCACGGCAGTGACCTACGAGATGACCGCCTGCTACAACATCGAGGTCCAGTGCCGCGGCACGGACATGCTCGCCAAGATCAAGAGCACCAAGGTACGTCATCCGAGAGATTCTCTCGTTCCAAATCCGAAAGAAGTCGGATAAAAGTGAACAATTTGTCTCATAGCTCTTCAATGGAAAGATCTATGCCAAAGAGAGCCCCATGGGTTGCATGTCCAGCATCCAGGACTCCATGGAGTTTGAATTGTCGATGCCCTACGAGAGCAAAGCGTGCAAGGTAATGCCCAACCCCTTCCATTCATCGTTTTCGATTTTTTTTTTCGTCGATGGTCTCCACTGTGATTCCTTTTCTCACGCGGTGTGACGATTCGACACCCCATTTTTTTTTTTTTTAGTTTCGCCTCCTCGTAGGCATTATTATATTCCACGATGGGAATCTCTGCTCGACAGGTTACTAAATCCTTGCCGGGAGAGTACACCAACCAGATCGTGGTTCAGCACCACAAAAACATCGTGACCTCGGCCGACCTGGGTCTCTCCCTGATATGCATGTACGACCTCGGGAGTCGGAACGTGACCAACAACGTGAGCCTGGAGGTGGAGGGGAAGATCGAGCAGATCGTCACCGAGGAAGCATACGTGGAATCTCCCGACATCATCATGAGGATCACGGATCGCAAGGGCAACGACATCTCCTTCGCTCAGGTTCGTTTCTTTCACGTCTCGATCCTTGTCGGTGTGATACGTGATGCACGTTTGTGTACGACACCAAGGCCGAGCATTGGGGCGTATCAAGCCAAGCCCACGTTTTCTGAGGCTCCCGCTGTGAAGCTTTAGGTGTACGAGTCACTGAATGTCACAATATCAAAGGGACGACATTCTAAGCGTTAATAATAATAAAGGTTCTGACTATAAAAACAAAATATGTAATTGTTATGAAATAGATAAATAATATAGACAATGGCTATTTTCTCATTAGTATGTAAAAGCCTCCACTGGTGGGCACTGGTATAGTTAAAGCGGATTACGTAATCGTTACCTTACACGATATACTAACATAGGGTGACATTCACCGAATCCGTTTAAGCTAAACTAATCTGATCTCACAATGGTCCCCTATGGGAATCAATTTAACAGAGATAAACTTATTCCCATAGACGCCCATTATGAAGACGAATCAGTTTAAAGTTAAACGAATCTGGTGCATGTCACCCATAACGTTAAAAAAAAAAGAAAGACAAGCGACAGCCCTAAATGTCTGAGTGCAAACATTCGCCTGGCACCCCGTGATCACGAACCAACTGCAATTGTGCGACATTCAGGTTGGCGACTCCTTGAAGCTGGTCTTCGAGATCTCTGACAACCGCTACGACTTGATGGTGACTAAGCTGTACGCCCTGGACGGAATCGACGCCCTCGAGATCCCTCTGATCGACGACGAGGGCTGCCCCACCGAGACCTTCATCATGGGACCGATCGAACGATACGAGAAAAACACGGACGATGACGGCGAAGAGAAGAAGCAAGATGCATCGAAGAAGCGCTTCCAGATACTCGAGACCAAGTTTGAAGCCTTCAAGTTCCCGGTCAGCGACATCGTCTCCTTCCGAGCCTTGGTGACCCCTTGCGTCCACTCCTGTCCTCCGGTCACCTGCGACGTCCTCGACTTCAACGGGGGAACGGCCAGGATCCAGTCCTACGGGCGGCGCAAGAGGTCTCCGGTCCAAGACTTCCTGCGCAAGAAACGATCCACCAAGGACGACGACCTCTTCGTGATTCAGAGCATCACCATTTCCGACAAGTACGGTCGGTCGAGGTCCAACCGGCGGCTCGGCGGAGACGCCGTCGCCACCGGGGACTCCCTCAACACCACCGTCACCGAGGTCACGATCCAAGGCAGCACCGATGCCGGCGTCTGCATCAACATGGTCGGGATCATCGTGGCCTGCTCTCTGTTCCTCGTCGCCCAGCTTGTGGTCATCGTGGCCTGGACCTACATCTGGCAGAAGCGGCGGCAGAACAAACTCGAGGACGGGCCCATCCCGGAGACGACGGCCGACAGCCTAACCCAGCTCTTCAACTCCGGATATCCAGCCAGACGGTTCTGATCCGCTCGAGAGTAGAAACTCAGGACTCCACAAAAACAGCAACATACTAGGGCATTAACATTTATCATCATCCAGCATCCGACGTAGGGACCTTACTGTGAAGCACAAGGAACATCCGGGCCGTTCACCCGTAGATTTTAGTATGCCCAACGCCGACGAGTTTTTAGCCACCCGAAATCCATCGACCTCATCCATAGAAGACAAGGTATCCAGTGCGACGATTGTTTTCACAATGACTGCAGACGTTTGCTGTGATGTGACTCGACTTTCCAGGACTTCCGACGACATGCACCGATCAGAAAACCACACGAAAGAATCTATTAACTTGTGAATTTATAGAGAAGTTTATGTGCAAAGCCCAGATCCTGCTTCACGTGCCAAAAACTGGCTTCTGTATGTCTCTCCGAGTCCGATTGGCAGCTTCAAAACGTGGGTTTTGTGATAACTCTCATTATCTATATGGCATTGAAAGCAAAAAAAAGCGTGTACATAACGCTGCAAACTGCCAAAATTGGCAAAAAGGAAAAAAGGAACATTCGCTTATGTGCTACCGCTGTGTCTTGCTCAGTCGACGTGAATGTGGATTCTCTGTCTACCCTCAGATATTGCATTAGTCTCGAGCCATATTTGTCCGTGTTGGAGGTCCAGGCCAGTACTTCCAACTTCTGTTAAGTTTGCTCCTTTGTTTTTTTTTTATTTATGAGCCTAATTTATTGGCGCCAGGCAAACGTTGTTTCCCTGTAGAAGGTTTCATCAATGGAAGGATCTGACAAAGAATCTCTTTTTCCCCCTGCTGTGTTGTCTATTGTGATGTGAAAGTATTGTGATGATGTGCTCGCCGTCCCGTCGTGCATCTGTCTTCTCTTTTTTTTTGTACTGAAAATACAAAGAAAAATACAACGAATACCATGAACTCGTTCGGTTGTGGTTTCTCCTGATCGCAGCAAAACTCAGACCGTGGACCTCACGTAATTATAATAAATTACTGTCCTCCAGCACACTGTCTGACAAAGGATGGGCAGCCGAGACATTTGTTATGACTTAAGCAGCGACATGAGAAACTCGGCTCGGAAGATCCCGTCAAGATCCATCATGCTTGACGATTTATTTTAATTTCATGTGGAACAAGGAACAGGAGGCGTGGAATCCGGTCGGTTAGTTAGTATGCGATGCAGAGAGCGTGGAAAGAGTCGAGCCCCCTGATAAGGGGCCATAAAGCATACAAGTACCTCTGGCCATTCCGGCCGGGAGAGGGGGAAACGACCAGGAAGGAATTCCGGGGGAAAGGAACAAGGTTGAGGTCAAGGGTCCAGATGCATCGTGCCGATAGCTCATCATTGTGAGGGCTTGGGAAGCGGATTCGAGTATCCGTTTCCCTTGTTCCCGGAAGGAGATCTGTCCTCCTCTCGTCTATGATCTCGATAGATAACACGTGGCTCTTCACAAGAGGGAATCTCGAGGGCATGGACAAAGAATCTCAACGGATGGACATGGAATCTCTTTCTACATCTCCACTTCTTTGCAACGTCTCCTCGCGTTGGATCATGAGACTTCATGCCTAACGAAACTATTGTGCAATTATGGATACCCGCTGATACTCTTCATATCGATATCGACGATATTTGGCAAGCAGATATGCAGGCATTAAAACTCCGGCACATAAATATCTGAGACTTTCATGAAATGTGATCATGAAATGTGATTCCTGCAAGGCGGTGCAGGAAAATAAGGACTTTCAGTTGAGTGCGAGACGATTTGCATGCACTTTTTAAACATTTGCAGCATATACCAATATTAACTCTTCAGATATATCTTATAAAATATACTAGTATCATTAAATTTGGGATCATATCAGCATATTGGAATCAGCCTAATTTCAACGTTGCTACACCTCAAAAAGAAAAGTAATATATATTTAAAGGAATTAAACGAAGAGGAAGGTATCATCAACGTACGCATGTGAATCGAATTCAGGTGCATACAACAACAAATTTATACTGACGCCCTACGCGATCCTCTAGTTTTGGACCATCATTGTTGCAAAGCAAAGCAAGCGTCTCGGGTCACTACCAAGTTACGAGTACATCCTTCCAATGGGATCGCACATTTCCCATTGGGTCAATCTGTAGACGAAAGGCACTGAAACGGCAAAGACAATGGAAGGGTATATCGATATGCAATGTTTGCAATTCATTCCCTGAGTGCCTTAAGGTCGTTTCACACTTAGCGTGTCATGCGTCCTTTGCGTCAGTGCTGGACAGCCAAGCAGGCAGGCAGACGCACGCGTGCACAAGCATGTTCACACGCGTGTCCACTTACATTCAAGGTTTTTTTTCAAAACGCAAAGCTTGCGTGTGGAATTGGGATGAGCTCAATTGAAAACGCAAGCCTTGCGTTTTGTGAAAACCCTTAAATGTAAGTGGACACGCGTGTGGACATGCGTGTGCACGCGTGCGTCCGTCTGCCTGCCTGCCCAGCATCGACACAAAGGACGCATGACACGCAAAGTGTGAAACATCCTTTACGGATGGTGGCTTCATCTCGTCAAGGTCGCGTTCAACGCCAATCACGCAAGTTCGAGAAGATGAATCGACGAATGTAATGAGCAAACAAGAGGATTTTTTTTTTCGTAGTGATTCGGTTCCTGCCGACGAGGGAAGGAAGCGAAATGCAAGAACCTCAATCGGGTACTGCATATGCCAATTCACAATAAAGGACACATTTTGCGGAAAGACTGGATGTTCCTGAACTGGATCATCCAGTCTTTCCGCAAAATGTGATTGAGTGATGTTTGTGCGTTCGACAGGGATTTCCCGATGATAATTCATACAAGGTTACTTCCCTGATTTATAATTTTAAAAATCCAGAAATTTCAGCGCTCTAGCACAAACCGTTCTCGAGATATTCTGTCCCAAAGTTAGCCCCCGGGGAAAACGTGCTCCTAATTGTGTCAGATAAGTGTTTTTTAAGCTCAAATTAAAGCTGAGACAAAGCTGAATCAGATTTCACTAAGGCACTTTTCTTTGTCTTTCTTACAAAGAAGTTATGAATTATCAAAACTAAAAAAGAAAAATTCCCGAAATTTACACTAAAATATCGAATAGTGGGGTACAAGGTTACGCTATGAGCTTTTGCAACGTTGCAGTTCTAGTCAATAAAAATGGAAATAGCTCAATTTTAACCACATACTTTGTTTCAAACAGCTAACTGAATTTGAAAAGTCTAATTTACTTTGTATTTTCGAGTCTGTGCGTTTTTTTTCTTGTAAACTTTCCATTTTTTTCGCCTAAAATATTTAGCCCAAATTTCTGACACTGGGAATCCTAGTGACACAGCCAAGTCTCGTTATGTTTTGACTGATAAAGTTCCAAAGTTCCTGAAATTTAACCTATTCAACTGAAATGCCTCTAGGGCGATGCGAATGAATCAGTCACAAATGCGTCCTCACAGTATAAAATAAATCTAATATTCCGTAAGCACGTAAATGCGATCAAAGAGAACAGTGAGCTTTCTTCAACAGCTTTGAACGACTCACATGGATGAATTTCGATTCTCCTGTCCCAATATCTCCATATTAACCCTGTCTCAGTTAAGAAAAACCTTTTTTTATCTCCTTCCCCAACCTCCAAGGCGAGGTGAGAGGAAAAAAAAAGGTTCTTCTTAACTGAGACAGGGTTAGTTGCTTCGGCAAGGATGCTCAGTACGACGGATGCTTTGTCCATCCAATGTGCAGACTCGGTACCGATTTGGAATTACTGTATATTTACCAACTCGTACCCTGCTATCAAAACTACCCAGCATTATGTGGCTAGCACAATATCGGTTTGACTGAAACTGATCAGATATAATTATGATCTCCTTTGGGGATCCAGATTAATCTAGTGAAACAGTTGCAATAGCAGTCCATTAGGAAATTACAACAGTTCAAGCTGACTCTTCCAGTCACGAACCTTGATCACTTTTCCCGCTGTTAGCACAACATTCATATACTACAAAATATCGCTCACCTAAATATTGGTTGCCATAGCGACAACAATCATTACTGGATACCATATCCGCCAAGGTTACCATCGTGTGACCATGACTGGATTCCGTATTTCGGCAAGGGGAATATTATGAATGGCATTTGAAACAGTGCTGTAATGTTAAGAAATGGGTTTAATGCCCTGGAATCTTCAGCTGATCTCGTGCGTATCACCCAATACCCAGACACTAGAAAAATAAAGAAGGTGAAGAAAGGCTCCTTGTCGTAGACTGGACATGCCTTCACGAACGGAGAGATCCGGGATGACGTGAGAGAATGGGAGGAAGCATGCTTCAGCATCTCCTCTCTCCTTCCAAGAGACCAGACAACAAAAAAAGTACCAGTTGGATAGGTAAGACTACTCGTTTTTTCCCTTTTTTTTGGGTAAGAACCTTTTGGCGGTCGAGGCAGCGTGACGGAACCGCACCTTTCCACGCTGACTCATCCAGAAAGATCTTTCTCATTCTTTTTATGCTTTTTTCTTCTTCTGGAAGCTCTGTGACTGTGTGCGACAGTGCCCTGCTGGGACAGTGGGGCATTGGTCCATCACCTCTCAAGGTTCTTCACACTCATTCCTCATCCACTAATTCACTTAGAAATGACAAGACCATTTCCGCTGGATGGGAGAGTAGGAATGATTCATATTATTAGAGGGGAAATGGAACCGCAAAAATTTTCACGATGTCATGCCTATCCCTCAACCCTTTCATACCCGAATAATGGTTTAGGTATGGGGAAAATATTCAATTTTAGTTTTGTGGATTCAACTAGGCTAGAAAACACGTACATAATTTTTTTAAATAATTAGATTAAATTAGATTATTAGATGATTAGATGAATTAGATAATTAGATTAAATTTCATATAAAAAGAAATGTTTAAATTACAAATTAAATTAGTCATGTTAACTTCATTAATTCCGTCGGCAATCAAATCCTTAGCTTTCGTTTTTTTGTTTCTCGACATATCTGTACTATTTTCAGTATTCTAATTAGAAAAACTTAGGGGAAAATGCTGGGAAACCCATATCTAAAAATTACTCTTCGAATGTTGAAAAACCTCTAAGTTCCCTATCTTTGGTCTGCTCTACATGCACGCAAGAGCACAATTGACACATTGTAAACAAATCATCAGATGGCTTGCAATGCTATGGTTGAGTCATAGCCGTTATTTGGGAAAAATTCATATGGGAGACTAGGAATATCGAAATCAATGGTTCCAACTTTTAGGCATGATGGAGTTAAATTTTGCTTTGAGACTAACCCTCGACGAATTTATTTTGACTGATCCTCCACACGAAAACTCCCAAACGACCATCTTTCGATGCTTGGTATCCTCTCAGATTTTATCCTCTAGAAAAGTCATTCGCAAAGAAACCAATCTGATGTTTGGAGGAAACAATATGAACTTTTGGAAGTGTTCTTCGGATTGGACACTTCTTAATAATCTTGCTATTTTCTTCGTGCAGTCCTACATGCTCAACAAAAGCAATGCAATCTTTCCTCGGCGCGATTTCGGCAGAAATGAAATTCTTGAATTCGTAAGCAGA